ACCAGCTCACTTAAAAAATAAAGGCTTTAAAATGTTGACCAGCTCACTTAAAAAATAAAGGCTTTAAAATGTTGACCAGCTCACTTAAAAAATAAAGGCTTTAAAATGTTGACCAGCTCACTTAAAAAATAAAGGCTTTAAAATGTTCACCAGTTCACTTAAAAAATAAAGGCTTTAAAATGTTTTAAAGTTAAAAATTATTTTTATTGTGTTTTTAAAACTTGCATTTCAAAGCAATTTTTCTCAAAGTTAAATTCACTAGTATTTCATCTTGGTCAATTCATAACTTATGAGAGTCAATCAGCTTGCAAGCGCAAAATTTAGCTTTACAACATCAACTCTCTTCAAGGACTCTCCCATTTTGGGAAAAATTTCCGTAGAGACATGGTGTCATTGCTGGTGTATGTAAAATATTCTTCAGAACACTACCCATATAACAAAGAAGGTTACGGAAAGATTGCCGTTTCACTTTCCATAGGCTGCCCACGAAAACAGTTCCGTGCAAACCGTTTCGGAAACCATTGCCGCAAGGTTTACATAGGAAAGCTTTTTATGAACTACCTCACCGACAAGGTTTGAACGACAAGTCCGTGAAAGCATTTCCGCGCAAAATGTTTCGGAAACCATTCCTGCAAAATTGACGTAGATAAGCTTTTTATGAACCACCTGTCCCATCGTGTGTCGTCCCGTTCGGTATTGTGGTTATTGCGTTTGCCTTCCAACTCTCGGAACGCGGGTTCGATCGTCGGCTGGGAGGAATTTGAAGTTTGTAAGAGTACGGCTTTGAAAATGGGATGAAAAAAGGGGGATTCCTCTCTGTAGGAATACGGCTTCGGAGGGGCGAATGGGGTCCTATTTTTCCAGCCGAAGGAGGGCTCTTAACAACCTTTTGAAAAGCCACGAAACAAGCTTGAGGAAAGCTTGAAACAAACTTAAGGAAAGCCTGAAACAAGCTGGTAATAAAAGCTTGGGGAAATCTTACTAAAAACCTTACAGAAAACCTTGTTTCTTGTTGACTAGCGAACCTTTCCGCTACCTTGCCGAAAGGTTCAACCCTTGCCATGGAAACCTTTGTGACAACCCTTTTACACTTGCTGACGACAAGGTTTCCAAAACCTTTTAGACAAGCTTTTTTTGCTATCTGGGTACCAAGCAAGAAGCATAATCAGTTCCATTAAACATTAGTTTATTTTCATGATATGAGTAGATACATCAGCAACACAAGTACGTCAACTATACAACAGGAATACTATATACAATACAATATATACTATATACAGTTAAAACCACAGTTAACACGATACACACAACATCACAGTTACAATCACAGTTATCATGACACATGGAGGAAATTGCAAGTGTTCCAGAACCAGCATTTTAGTGGAATCTTTAATTCTTCATTGTGTTTGAGGTATAAGATTTAAACATTAACCATAAATATTTAAATATTAAATCGAATTTAGACCATAACAAAATTGTCTCTGCCCAGTGTTTTGACAAAATTCCTCAGATTCGCATAAATCCTTTTCTCAATCATTCAACGGGCGTGGTGGTCACGTGTTAAGCAGGCCATTCACATCTCTTCCAAAATGGAATTTTTTGGAATACGGGAAGGAAAAATCAATCGTCAAGGTCGAAAACCTATAAAATTTGGAAGAAATTATTTTGAGTGGTGGAATTGCAAGCAACACAAAATCCAAGATTTCTTGCGCCGATTCCAATTTGAGACCCCGATGAGAGGCCAGCGGCACATCAAAAGGTCTGCCTACGTTGGGACCTCGCATCGAGGCTAGAAAATCAGATATCTGCTGAGGGGGAGGAATAGAGGGGATCGAAGAGCGCACTTTGGAGTCTACGTGAATGACGTGCGTGATTTTTCGATTAAAATGGGTGGGAAATATACGGTCCTAGGACAAATGGCATAGCTAGCCTTGAAGTGGCCGGCTTTTGAGTCTTAGCTTCGTGACCGGAGGTTGCGGGTTCGAGATCCGATTCCATGGATGATCTACCGCGAACGTCAAACGTCCTCACGCTAGTATAGAGTATTATCTAAGCAGAGTGCCGACTAAGCTAACTACGGTCTGAAATAACGTGTCTATCCCAAGATACCCCTCGTAGCATCAAAACAGGACTTTAATATTACTAAAGTAAATCTTGATCAACTTATAGCGCACCGTGCTACACCATCTTATTTTGATGTATATAAGCCAAAATCCACTTCTGGACATTGGGAATTCCTTTTGTCTAGTGGTTAAGATGCTTGATTCGGGACCCAAAGGTCTCCGGTTCTATCCCACCACCAAAGTGGTGACTCGCGGACAAAGAACACGCAACAACAACTTTCAGTCCCACCACTAGATGGCACCACCCCAAATTACATCAATTCCATCTTCTGCTACATTCGGCAGATGGCAACACTACAACTCCTACAGCAACACAGCTCTATCAATTAAAAGTCTATGACGCATTTCATAGCACAAAGCCTGCACACAAACAATCGGGGCAGCAATCTGCGCATATGCGCGCAGCACATCGCTTCCTTGATATTCAGATAATATCAAACAAGCTGGGGGTTGCTCCTGTAGCGTACCGTGGTATCCACCTCTGGACATTGGGAATTTCTTTTGTCTAGTGGTTAAGATGCTTGACTCGGGACCCAAAGGTCTCCGGTTCTATCCCGCCGCCAAAAACTTGCATAGCACTCGGGCATGGCAATTTCAAAGAAAAGGACCGCGCTATTTTTTGACCAAATCATTGAATATTGCACATGACCTAAAGGAAAGCTCGACGACTCTTAACTTTACTTGCAAGTCTGAATGATTAATGTTTTCCAGACTATTTTTATTAATCAAAAACGTCCTACGTTGCTCACGAAACGATCGTTTTCAAGAACTCATAAATGAATACCAGTTTCTCCTAAAACTCCGTCTTTAATTGCATCTTAAACATATTTTAGCAACATGGCACTGATCTTTCATCTTCATAGCAGATCGCACAATTTTTCACTTTGGAGTAATGTTTTTAAACTCCATAGAAAGCTTGGTTACAGCTTCGCCTTCCTTATCTCCCGAGTCTTTGTAATTTAGACTTATATAATTTTATATAATTATAATTTTCTTTATATAAATATATTTCTTATATAATTTTCTTTGAATAAACGTTATACATAAAATTTTTTGAGTATTTTGACGTAGTCTTGCGTCTCTCCATAGCGGTCTAATAGTGTCGGGAAAGGAAAAAATTATAAATCTTTCCGCGCTAAAGTTAAACGCTTATAGTTCCGCAACCAAATAACATAGAGAGTTAGTTTTAGTTTAATTTAACAGAGAAAGGTTGACATTGAAGATTGCAAAAAGAATTTTAGAATTTGGAATTACGGTTTAGTCACAATCGAGTTGCAAAGTTGGTGAAAATCACGAAGAATTTTGATGATGTCACAGCGACCGATGCGCGCGCACTCAGTGCCCAACCTAGTTTCCTGGCTCGTGAGCTCAGAAACGAGGAGGGTTCCAAAAAATTTTTTTATCAAGAGAATACAATTTTGGAAGTTACTTTATCTCTAAGTAGGCTAAATTTTTTAATTCCAAATCCAGATGTGAAATTTCCTGTTAATGGAGTGTTAAAGTATCGCCCATAAGTTGGATTTCAACTTTGTCAAAAATAAAAAAATTTCAGAATTAAAAATTTCATTTAATTTCTAAACTATTTTCGTTAGTGATTTACTTCCTGACCTTAGTGATTAAAAATGAACGATTCTTTCATGTCCTATATTCAGTTGAGGATTGGACTACTGTACACAATGCATTGAATAAAAAATGCAGTAAAAAATTCTCACTCCTTTAAAATCTTTGAAGAAATTAGAAGCAAATTTTGCAGTGTTTTTGTCTAATTATTGTACTCAAAGTGCTGTGTACTTGTTTGTTTACTAAACCCACTTATTTATTGAAATTATTTTTTAAATTGTTAACTCTTTAATTAAAATTATTGTTCATTCATTAAAATTTTTACTTGTAATTATAAATAATTTATTTATTAAAATTAGTTAACCCTTAGTAGGAGGGGCTGGCGTAAGCCAGTGAGTTATTTTTTGCTGTGAATTTTCGACTATTCCTCCCTGAATCCTCTCCCTCCTCTAATCCAGATAGCAAAGAAGATTGCGGAAAGGTTGCCATTTCACTTTCCATAGGCTGTCCGCGAAAGCATTTACGCGCAAACCGTTTCGGAAACCATTGCCGCAAGGTTTACATAGGAAAGCTTTTTGTGAACTACCTATTCCATCGCGTGTAGCCCCGTTTGGTATAGTGGTTATTGCGTTTGTCTTCAAACTCTATGAACGCGGGTTCAATCCTCGATTCGGACGAATGTGAAGTTTTGTCACAATCTACAACGAAATCGTACACAAGTTTAATTAAAAATTAGATTAATCAAATTAATTGAAATTAATAATTAAGCTTTGATGAATTAAGATTCCTAATTGATCTAATTAATTGACATTCCAGATAACTCTATGTTGGATTAAGATGACGTCAGAAGAAGGGGGATAAAAAGGGGGTGGACCCCTCTGTAGGAGTATGGCTTCGGAGGGGGTTCTATTTTGTCCGCCGAAGGAGGCCTCTTAACAACCTTTCCAAAGGCCTGAATCAAGCTTGAGGAAAGCCTGAAACAAGCTTGGGGAAATCTTACTAAAAACTTTACAGAAAACCTTGTTTCTTGTTGACTAGCGAACCTTTCCGCTACCTTGCCGAAAGGTTCAACCCATGTCATGGAAACCTTTGTGACAACCCATTACCCTTACTGACGACAAGGTTTCCAAAACCTTTTAGACAAATCTTCTTTTCTATCTGGGAACCTAATAGGAACACCCCTCGAGTACAATGCATCTAGCCGATTCGTTCACTCCTTCTAATTCCTTCCAATCTAAGCATTTTTAAGCGCTTGCGTCAAGTCAGCGAACTCAGTACGCCAGAAACTTGCGCGCTGCCATCAGATTCGAAGATAAAGACACGACGGACACATGCAGGAAGACTGATAAGTTAGCAAAAATTAGAAGGTTTTTCGACTGCCAAAAATTTTATACATCTGGTGACCAACTCACGATCGACAAAAATTGGAGCCTTTTCTTGGGAGATGCTTATTTATTTAACATAATATGGCGAATAAATTTTTTTCTTTTCTATTTTATCGGTCATTCTTTTTCTTCATTCCTCTCTATTACGATTCCTGAGCAGATTAAAGTAATAAACTAAGAAAAATGGGTAGAAATATGAAGCAGAGGGTAGAAAAAACGACCTGTTGTACTCTCTTCGCTGCCCCTCCCAAATTGTGCCATACACTAGTCCCTCAAACAAAGGGTTAATTACCTATTATTTATTAAAACTGTTAAATATTAAACTATAAATTTGTACTGCATTTTTAGTTTATAAAGTGCTGCTTTCTCTATCTCTCAGTCTTAAACCCTATTTATCTCAATTCGAATTTTTATTGTGATCTTTTCAACTTGGAATTATTTAACTTCCACAGTAATTATATAAAACCAGAAGCATTCATATCTTGAAAGATTCAACTTAACCTTTCGCTTCAAATCATGTGAAGGTACATATCCTTAAAAAACTTATTATCCGTTTCTGAAAAAAAAAGCAGTGGGCATAATATATTGCAATGTTTTATTTACCTAACATTTATTTCAAATTTTATGCCATTATTCCCGCTGCTGCGGTGCAAAAATATCCACACTGGCCTGACCTACCCAAGAAGGGTGTAAGCCCGGGAGAGGACCAGCGGGGTGAGAGCCGCCCCACCAGCATGTGGGTGCAAAAAAGACTAGAAAACCACCCCTCATTCGAAAGATTTCCCGTCAAATTTGGCGTGTTTGAATAGATATATGGGAGAGAAATGTTTAACATTGATTGAAAACAAATAAAATAAACATATGTTTTATGACAGGATATTTTTTTATTTACATATTTCTTTATTCTAAAAACCACTTGGTAAACAACATTCTGTTTGAAGTATTTTTCGTTGTTTAACAATTTTATTATAATTCAATAACCATGAAATTCTCAGCTTGTCAAATGTAAGTCAAAATTTCAAAGGAATTCTTTTTCGAAATTCTAATCAAAACAAATCACTTGTCTGCTTGTCAAACGTTGCCAAAAAATATTATCAAATTATATCATCACGATTGCAATAAATAATCAGATGCAACGTGGCGTCCAAACTCATGCTATACCACTGACGTAACTTACTACTTTCTATTAAAAAACGGAAATTAATTTGAAATATATGATTAATATCATTTAAAATTTCTCGGGAACTATTGATCATAGCGAGATAAATTTTATATCAATCTATAGAAAATTTTATTTCACTATTTTTTGCTATTAAATTTGAAATGAGAACGACAATTACGCTTTTAAATTTAAAATTACAGAAATTTAGGTGCTCTAACAATGAAATAATGCTGCTTAACATCTTGTAGTGCGATGGCTTTATTGTTGGTGACGTCAGAGTGTTACAGAGAGACAGATCTGGGCTATTATGTTAGTAATTGTTGTATTCAGAGTGCTGCGTGTTGTTTATTTAATGCAAATACTTATTTATTAAATTTTATAAAATTATAATTATTATCAATTTAATTACTCAACTGACTTTCTGTTTATTTACTATGTTTAACTTATAACTGTTATGTAGTATTAAAACTAAAACTCCTGAAAGCAAAAGTAATGGAATCAGTTTTTATCCAAATTCAATTTATTTATTGTCTTTTCAAAATTATATACAAAACTAACATTCAACTTCAAGTATTGAATTAAATCAAATCTGTGCTGACTTGTGCTTGTGTTATTTTATTTGAATGTTAAATATTCCTAAGAAACATTTACAGCATATGAAACAAACACCATATAAAAAATAAATTAACAACAATCTAATACTAATACACATAAGAAGTACTCTGAAACTATTTTCCCACAACAAAGAATACTACATATATCACAAAAAAATATATTATGTTTAACAGATATAATTCATAATAATGTTTTCATTTTAAAATGAATTTATTAGCAAAAAGAGACGAAGATACAATGCTGATTATATGCAAAAAATATGATGGAACATTTTTATAGCAGTTTAACACTCTCAGCAGCCAATGCAGCCTTTTTCACTTTTTACATTCATTTCAAAAGCAAATAATTCATGTTTATACGTATATTTTCATTAAATTCCAAGAATCCAGCCTTTCCACTTTTTACATTCATTTCAAAAGCAGATAAACCAAGTTTATAAGTATATTTTCATAAAATTCCTAGGATAAAATAATCTTAAGACTTTAGAGGTTTTATTATATACAAAAAAGGTAAGTTTATGACTATGAAAAGCTAATCTTTCACACTTTAAAGCTATTATATCAAAATAATTGGGTGCTTAATCCACGAGGACACGCAAGGGGATGTTTTGACACCCTACGTATGTAAAATGTGAAAAATACCCACTTCCCTTTAGTTGAAATGAGTCATATCCCTGCTATCTGTCTTTAAGGTCACCTTCAACTGACGGAATGTGTTTCAAGAAAAAGTGCTTTAATTTTTTTATCGGAATTGAGCTTATGGGGTGTTGAACCCCTTGTATGTCAGGTTTCTTTGCTCAATTCTTGCTATTTAAGTTTTATTGTTGAAATATGTGGATTAGAGAATATTCTATATTTTTAAAATGGAGATTTTTGCTGATACAAGACTTTGAAACTGGATAATAGTGCAAGTAAAAATCTCAAGAGATTGATGCAAAAGTTTTATCATTCTGTACGTAATGTAGCTGTTTTCAGCTGGTACATGTCTTATCCACTTGCACAAAAACTATCAGAGGAACAGCTTAAAATTGTAGAAACAATTCTGAAAAATGAAAGCATATTACGACCTAAATTTATTGGATCTTAAGGTAAAGCCCATCAGAATTCTTATTTAGATTACTAAAAATATGGTTTCCTCTGTACCTAAGAAAATTACAAGCAGTATTTTTCTTTCCAATTTGTATCACAATTATAATATTGATGATACTTTGCTATAAAAAATTCTGAAAACGTGTGTAAGAAATATACTTTTCTCATGTGTTTGCAATGTGTTGAATAATATAATGCATTATTTATTTAATTTTTCATCTAAAAATTTGTTCTTGTATAAAGAGAACTGTTTGCACAAATCATTTGGAGCAGATATAGCATAAAAATGTAGCTAGTTTTGCTTAGATAGTGAAATAACGATCGGGGTATTGCAACACCCCTTGCACGTCTTCATGTTACTTTTCGTAGCACGCGTCCTCCCGTGTATCTGAAAGTGAATATAATTAATAATAAATACAATGAATATAATTTTTACATTTTTGAAATTCAATTTCTCAAACCCACAAATGCCCTTCATGGAGAACTAGGATATTTATAACAAGTTAAACATCTTTTTGTACAGAACAAGTTTTCATAAATCTGTACTATATGCAAATGAGGTATCTATACCAAGTTATTAGGAAGCAATCAAGCATCGAAATAATTTATGTTTCCACATATCAAGGATATTTTCAGTATTTCTAAAAAATCAAATATAAATTTACATTATAAATAGTAGAGTTTACAACATTAGTAATTGTTGTACACTGACAACATAACTAATAAAAATCGCTGAATGTGATCAATTATAAAAAGTAAAATGTGCAAGATTTTATTGAAATGATACTAATAATATTTAATTCTTTAAAATCATCACATATATTTAATAATTATTAAATTATATGACTACCATAGATAAATACCATTTCATTAAAATCCAATGGTATTTATCTATGGGTGAAAAAGTTTATTAATGGTTAACAAGTAAGAATAGTTGAATGTTATAATTAATATTATAAAATGAGCATAAGATATCAGAACAGATACAAAAAAATTGATATAAATATTAAAAAAAGAAGCAAGATTCATTTCGGATATGTATATTCATTTAAAAATGAAAATTAAATATAAGGATGATAGAATTACAATGTCATAAATATGGTAACAGTAAAAGAAAAGGAAAAAATGTGGTTCAAAAACAATCAATTTCGATATATTAACAAACAAAAACTTAATATTAACAACTTATTAAAAATGATTGAGCATGTTTACAGTAAAAAGAATGCTGAAAGTTTATAAAATAAAATGCATGTACTTTAAACGCATAAAAGTTCTTGCATTTAAAAGAGTACTCTGCACAACTGTAATCAGTTTCAAAAGTTTTGTCGAAACATTAGAAGTCAATGGCAAAATTATTCTGATTCACTCAGTTGTGTAGCAAAGGGAGGAATATATTCCCTGGGCATGAGTTCAAAGGAAATTGCAAT